CGTTTTCCGATGTACTCTAGGTGATCGTACACGTACGCGATATTTATTTATAATATTTATTTGATAAATATGGAGCAGCAACTCCGTGCGATATTACCTAAATTTATTCGCAGCGCGCATCATTAATGACAACCCGCAATTCTCCGAACGGTGATATTTGACGGTATTTGACAGTCGGTATTATGAAACAAATTGCCGCAATAAAGATGCATATTTTTGTACAGTCATGAGACGCGATTTAATTAGTTTCTAAGTAATTAATTAGAAATCTGAAAACTCAGGTAACAACGTTCATGTAACACTTTTCTTCACGTAAGCTTGTGATGTTATCGTATTAGAAAAAAACGTAATTATTAGTATATATTTTCCTTCATTACGGCTCAGGTCTTCTTTATTACGATTTGAATTGACTGTATAATAAGACCGATGTAATTGTGTATGTCGCTAATTCTTTAAACAACTTCCTGAAAGATTCATCACATCACGAATGCTGAAATCGAAACGCGATGTACAACTCATTTTCATTAGGGTCTCGATTTAAATCTTTCGTACCTTATGATACTTTTTGTGGCGGAATGGATTTTTATATACACAAGTAAAAAAAAGTAAGTGCCAATTTTCGTACATTTAATCGCGGAGGACTTCGTTGAACGCGTTAATCAATAACCATAGTCATCAAGATCGAAATCGGCGAAGAAACAAGGCTTAATTGAAATTATCAAGCAGAAAAACATCTTATGAAACTTACTTGTTTTCGAGATTTGTATATATAATTACATAAAAACGTACTGACATTAATGAATATTTCAAAATGGTAAAAACTGTAATAAAATTCTCTTTGATTATATTTGAATATTTGAATATTGAAATATTTCAAAGCAAAAAGAGAAAAATTTTAAGTACATTCGAGTTTGCATATTCTATGCGAGGTCAATCAGCATGGTTAGTATTTTTCCAGGTGTTTAATTAAACATTCGGGTAGAATTACAACGTGACAATACTCGCGATGATGCAACATTATTGCCTCCGTGAAGTTTCAACTTCGCAGCCGTTTGCAGTGTTTCAAATTACAAAGTTTACTCTCCTCTGGTATAATGTGCCGCGGTGCTGCCTGGTCGCGACATTTATTTGCTCCGAGCAACATTTTCGACATGGTTGGTGGACACCGGCAACGCGAAGACGACGACACACGCGAGATTCGCGAAGCTCGTTGCATGGGTTACGAGGTAGCCCGCGGACCCTTCTCGTGCAATTTACCTTTTAACTAACATGTAAAGAGGTCAACTTTAACATTTGGGTATACGCACGATAAAATTCCGGTCGGAGGAATTTTCCAACGGGGAAACTTTATTAAAAGCGGAAGTCGAATAATCGTTGTAATGATAGTTTAACCGTCGGTTATTTGCGCAGCTCGGGAACGAGGGAAATTAAGATATAATAAAAGCACGGAGACATCAACAAGTTCACAGCGAGTTATGATTATTGGTTATCAACTAATAGAACGTTTCAGCAACGTGCGCCGTTTGAAACGTAAGAGAGAAAGCGCCCGAACGAAGCCGCTCGGAGCCGCCAGTAGCGGAGACTCGGCGATTACAACGAAAGTAAATTTTGCGTAAAGCGTATGATTACGGCGCAGCTTTATCGAAAACGCTGATTGAATCATTACGCGTTGCGGCGGCCGCGGCGGACGCGCGCGGGAGAAAGAACAAACGAGTTTTTTTTAATTTTTTTATTATTTAAACGCTACCGACGTTACTCAATCTTGTTTGTCGCCTTGCGTTATTCTTCGTTTTCTTTCTTGTTCTTCGACTTAGGGACGATTTCGAGCATGAATATGCACAACTTGTGAAATAAGAGATGACGGAATAAATTGATCGACATTCTATGGACGATTGTTTTTTTTCGCGATCACTCATCACGAGAATTATAATCATTCGTAATATGTTGGAAAGGTAACATTATCGTCAAGAAAAACATTTAATTCTAGCAATGCACTTTTAATGATAAGTATTTAGTATTACAAGTATTTTAATTACAATATTTTTAAGATGACGAAATACACAAATTGATCGATATTCTATGCGTGATTGTTTTTCTCACGATCGCGCGTCACAAAAATCAAAATTCGTAATGTGTTGGAAAGGTGACATTGTCCATTCTCAAGGAAAACATTTAATTCTAGCATTGCAAGTAGTTTTAATTAAAAGTGTATTTTTAAGATGACGAAATACACAAGTTGATTGACATTCATGCGTGATTGTTTTTTTCACGATTACGAAATACGAGAATCGTCATCATTCATAATGTATTAGAAAGGTGACATTATCCATTTTCAAGGAGAACATTTAATTCTAGCATTGCAAGTAGTTTTAATTAAGGGGTCTCACCACTCCTGAGGTTTTAAAATGATACCTTAAGTTTGGGATTTTTTTGTAGGTAAATGGATAACTTTATTTAAAATATGCTTAGAGGACATTATTGTACATACATAAGAAACAAAAAAAAATATTTTTTTATTTTTCTTATGTCCAAAATGATGGCGCACTGGCCTACACTTGCGAAATCCCTTTTTTCTATCGGTGTACAGGATTCCAGGCACACGGTTTGGCCTTGAACAAAACATAAAGAATTTTCATTATCTACATATTAAAGATTAGAGAAGTACGTAAGGGTTTTTCAAAATATTGATTTTTTTTAAAATGGCAGCTATTTTACGAGACTTGTATTGACAAAAATACTTTTCGTAAAAATAGCTGCCATTTCGAGAAAAATCAATATTTTAAAAAACACCTACGTACTTCTATAGTCTTTAATATGTAAATAATGAAAATTCTTTGTGTTTTGCTTAAGATCAAACCGTGTGTCTGGAATCCTGTACACCGATTTGAAAAAACAGAAAAAAGGGATTTCGCAAGTAAGCCGCCATTTTGTACACAAAAAAATAAAAAAATATTTCTTTAGTTTCTTATATATGTACAACAATGTCCTCTAAACAGCTTTTAAATAAAGTTATTTATTTACCCATAAAAAATCCCAAACTTAGGTATCATTTGGCCTCAGGGGTGGATGAGACCTCTTAAAAGTGTATTTTTAAGAAGATGAAATCTTTTAAGAAAATACAAATTGATCGGCACTCTACGCACGATTATTTTTTTTCGCAATCGCGCGTCACGAGAATCATCATCATTCGTAATGTATTGCAACGGTGACATTATCCATTCTCAAGAAAAACATTTAATTCTAGTATTGCAAGTGCTTTTAATTGCAAGTACATGTTCAAGATGACGGAATACATAAATTGATCGACATTTATGCGTAATTGGTTTTTTCACGATTGCGAAACACGAGAATCACCATCATTCGTAATGTATTTTATATGTTAGAAAGGTGACATTATCCATTTTCAAGGAGAACAATTAATTCTAGCATTGCAAAGTATTTTTAATTACAAGCATATTTTTAATTTGCCATGCAAACGATAATATATTTTTAGATTATTTTAATAGATAAAATACGTAAAATTAACGTGTATGTTATAGAAAATACGGATTTTTTCCAATACATTTTATGACTTAATATTTTTGATAATATTCAGAATATATGTGTAACTTTCACATGCCTTCACATTTTATCGATATAAGAAATGCAAAAAAAAGTTAATAAAGTTTACTGATAAAAAGACAAATATTCTCCACAAGATTTTATCTGACAAATTGCTAGGTAATAATTCATCGAGTAAATCTTAAAATTCTACTTTTTTTTACATCGAAGGGTAACAGAATTCGAAATATAGTGGACAGATTACGCCTGTATTATTTATTTTCGAGGAAAAAGATCAATTCCGGATCATTTTACGCGGCAGTAATTTATTAATTTTTTTTATTATCTTTTATAGACACAATGTTATTCATAAAATCACGTGTACAATATGTATCATAAAAATTATCAATTGATTTTTCGGCGTGTCAAACAACTCTATCTTTTTAAATCACGAACAGTATACACATAAACTTCTTATTCCTTCGTAAGGACGTCTTATCGAGATGCAAGCTTAATAAATTGTGCTGACATAAAATGATCAATGATTATCGAGAGTACTTGAATGCAACGTCAACGAGTGAAAAGTGATCATCGAGTGAATCTCAAATTTCTCCATCGTTAATTCTTTTTACATCCAAGAATATCGCACAAGGATAACGCACAAAATTAAGTCTCGCATCTCGAAATTTCAGACGAGTCATAAATTACGAGGAGAGTTTTGGTATGTGCTGTACCGGTTGGATTCTATCGGATTTGTTCCCTCAACCTCCTCAGCCTCTTCTCGAAGCCTCTTGTACGACGCCTTTTATCGTATATATATCCAATGCAATATTTTAAGCTATATAACTCCTACGTTATTGCTACTCCATGTCAGATTATCTTTTCTATCTTCTTGAATCGCGAGTTAGAAAGAATTTGGGGAGGTTAGAAAGTGTTTTTTTTTTTTTTTTTAGCTGGTTACAACAATCCGTTGTGGTTAGGAGAGAAAGATAAACCAAGATACGCCAAGTGAAACGCTCGTATAGTCTAATCGGGAGAACGTTGATCTCGATGACGAGGATTTCGCGCGGCTCGCGAGAAATGAGGTCGGGGGATTCCCCGTGTGTCCCGGCGGGGCCGGTTTCCCGAGCGCGGCGGGCGTCGAAGAAACGTGGTGCCGCCGCGCGCGCCGGGTTCCCCGCAGTTCCCCACCGTCCCGTTCCGGGCGTTCCTGGCGCTCTCCCCACGTCGCTCGGGGGATTCCTCTCCGCGGCGCGGATCGATCGCAGGTGCGTCACTTAACCTCAAAATAACGCGTTAGGCGAGACGCCGGTACACGCGCGCGTATAAGGCCACGCTCCTCGATCACACACGCGGCGCGGCCCGGCCCGCCCCGGCCGTCACCGCCGCCGCCGCCGCCGCCGCCGCGCCGGGCGGTTAACGCGCGGCCGCACGGATTACTACGCGCGGGTTACACCCACCTGCTATTCCACGTCCCTGTCTTCTCCCCGCGCGCGCGATGGTTCTCCTGCCCGTCCACTTCCGTCCGTTGTCGTCGTCGCCACCACCGAGCACCCTTCGTCCGCGAGCACCACGTAGCCGGCGGCAGCAGCAGCAGCAGCAGCAGCTCGTCGGCGACTATGTGAATCTTGCAGAGCGACAACAGCAGCAGTGGCAGCAATAAGCGGCAGCGACAGCACCCCGCGTTCGTCGTTGTCGTCGTCTCCTTCTGTCACCTGACCGCGCACATAAACGCAGCACGGCACGCGATGCACCACCTTTCGCGCCTCGAGTTACTCGAGTACGGTAAGCGCGGAGGCAACAACCTCGGCGCCTCTTCTTCTTCTTCCGTGACCGTCGTTATATATCTCCCCTCGGCGCCGGCAGTCGGTCGGTCGGTCGACTCCTTCCCGCGCGGCCGCGCGACCTCGTGATGAAGTATGCCGCGTATTATACGCGAACGAGGCAAAACGGGTGAATGACGAGAAATTACGCGCGCTGGCTGTGCGGCGGCCGTCACCTCTCGCCGTCGCGGCTCGGTAAACTCGAGTAACGACTGCCGTCTGCCCGCCGTCGGCCGCAAGTTTTCTTCACCGTCGAGCGGCACGCGCGCGTCGTCTTCCTCCTTCTCCTCCTCTTCCACTAACACGTCGCCCGGCGGTGGATGCACGAAAGGGGGAGGCGAAGCGGAATACAAGAGGGACGACGGAGAGACCGACGACGGAAGGAGAGAGAGAGACCAGGAGGAGAAAAAGGCCGGGTGAAAGAGAGAAAGGGAGAGAGGGACTGGCGCCGCGCTGCTCTAAGCTCACACACGCGGTCACGCTCGAGCGACGACCGTCCCCGCCTTTTAGCACCGACGCTGCCGCCGTCCGCTGCCGTCCGTCCACTGCCGCCGACGAGTCTCTCGCCTATGCCGCGCGCTCGCCCGCCGCCCGCCAGGCGAACCGCGAACGCACAATCGTCGATCGCCTTTCCCCCCCGACCCGCGTCCTGCCTATCGCCACCGCCGCCGTCGCCTGTCGCCACCACCGTCGCCGTCGCCGTCGCCGTCGTCGTCGCCGCGCGTCGCGCTCTTCCGTCTCCCTTCGGTACCGGCGCAATCCCGTCGTCCACACATCTACATCCTCCGTTCTGCTCTCCCCCGTGTTCTCCCGCTCTACCTGCGCGCACTTCCGCACCGGTTTATTTCTCTCCCTCTCTCTCTCTCTTCTCTCTCTCTCCTTCTCTCACCGGCGCATACCGTGCCTTCTTCCCACTTTACTCCGCTCCGACATTATACCATGATGTTCGTTCGAAGTCGCTCCGCGCTCGAATCGCTCGTCGCTGCCTTTCTTTATTTAATAGGTAATCGGATACGTAATCGCCGTAGACGGAAATGACGGGAAACGACGGAACGGGCGCGGATGGCGAATGCCACGGGCGCGGGAGCAGTTGTGTGACAGCTCGCGGCAGTCGCGGCGGGGGAGTGGGGACCGGCGAGGCACATCGCAAATCTGGCGCCATCCTACGGTGGGACGTTTAACCCATAATTTTGCCATAGATTTACAGCATTTACAGCATCCCGGGCGATGGAACGCCAATTAGTGTGAAATTTTTGCCCTTTTAATAACGGTTTTAATGTAACAATAATGAAAAGTTTAACTAATAAAATTAACGGACTCTGAAATTTAAAGAAACGAAGATAAGGAAAAAAAAGAGGTTAATAATGAGAATCAACGCGATACTTGGTGCGTGAGAAATTCAACCGTTTTAATAAGTATTCTCCAATTATGTCACTTGGTGGAAAAGTTTAAAATTACGTTGAAATTACAGGAAAATTACAGGAATTAAAAATTACATTGTTTGAAAACCTTTGCAGGGATTTTCTTTCAATGTAATATAAATTTCTTATTTGTTTCTAATTACTATACAGATGACTATTATTAAAAAATCGAAAGGTTTGATTTATTAAATTTATTTGATTGTATGTGACTTTATTTATTGATCGAACATTGTACAATATATTTGTTATTTGTAAAACATAAATGCGCGAACATCCAGCTCGGCTCATTATATAGCTTCTATATTACTACCTTCGAGACTATCTTATCCATTTGATAAGATAAATTCTAATTTTCTAATTTTTAATTATTATTCTATTTTATGATTATTACTTTATAATCCTGATTTATGATTATTATTTTATAATTATTTCGTATTTTTTTTGGGTTCTTTAAAAGAACGTAAAAGATTTTGACTTCAGTTAACAAGTTCCGTATTTTAATCTTAAAAATAAAATTCAAGCACAATTCAGCTTCAAAGTCTACTCATTTAGATGAAACTGACAATTATTTTTTATGCAGACGCAAGACTCATCTTAGGCAGTGTTCTAAAATTGTCAATGTCAATGTTGAAAATCTATAATGCACGTAACGTAAATGTAGATTTTTCTAGATTTCTAGATGGATTTTCTTTTCCTATATTTTTCTAGACTGAGTTTCGGTGCTGTTAGTGAATTTTGGAGCACAGCCTTAGTGTCTATGACAATGTAGAAAAATAAATATATAATATTTGGAGGAAAAAAGTACGGAACTTCGATCCGGTTCTCCATGTTCCGCATGGAGAACGTTTGACAATACAGAGATCACTGTGTATGCATTACATTGCAACACGCTCCTATATATGTCACACTACATTATAATTACATTATTATCATTCATTCTGCAACTCTGCACTGGGGAAGGTATGTTATGAAAAAAAAAAAGGAATTAGTAAACGGGACCGATACTGATTTGTGCACCGAGCGAAACCGTTTTTTTCCCATTTCTTTTTCTCGTTCAATCATTGCATCACATAAAATGTGCGTTCTACAGAAAACTGCTTTCTTTTTATCGCATCTAGTCTGTTGCCAACGTCAAGATAGATATCTCTTGATTCGCTGAAAGATCAGAATCTCAGTTTTTCAGGATTACAAGTTTTTATTTGACAAAGATTTAAAATTTAAATTTAAGTAGACACGACGCTCTAAGTACTAATCTAATGATGATTAATATATCTTTTTTTATACTAATTATACAGTATACACTCATAATCGGGCTCATACATAAATTTTTTTTTCTCCGCAGAAAATATTTCGCTGTCGCGTATTCCTTATCTAGCATGATACAATTGTACTCGCGGGATATGATTCGCTGTAAATTTCGCTGTAAATCGTTTGTAAACGATAAGAAAGAGACATGGGCAGAAATTAAAAATTTAAATCTCATTTCGTTTCAATATGTAATCAATTGGTTTGTGTGTAATTAGCTAAAAAAAAAAGGTCAGCAAAACCATGCAGCAGCAGGAATTAAAAGCGGATATGCACTTAATGAAACGATCGGTATGCCGCGCGTGTACTTATGCACGCGTATAATTATATACGAGTCTCGGGTGTGTGAAGTTTACTCATTAAATTACTCATTAAATGGCTTAACTTCAAGTCATGCTCGCGGCTTCGATAATTCTCGCGTGAGAATTTTCGTGATTCATCTTCAGAATGCGCGATTGAAACCTATATATATGTATAGCTTATTTAATATAATATTATGAAATATCACGCCAGCGCGGCGGCAAAAATCGGTAGTCGGAAAAGATTAATTTATTCGACACGCGGACTCGGCTGTATTTTTCCGGACTGACTCGCTAGCTGGAATCACGAATCCGGGGCTTCGTAACGCGCCTATGTGACTTCTCTTCCTCACCGGCGCGCGCGGCGACGAGTATTATAGGTACGCAAGTTCGCGCGCGTCAAGTTCGCCGCGAGTTCGCGGGAGAGAAGAAAGTGAGTAAATGGACCGGAATGGGAGCGATTCCGGTTATCTTCTCTCGAGGGCGGGGAGGGGGGGAGGAAGGGGGGGAGAGGGGTAAAAGTACCTGGAGTCGCCGTTCCACGTAACAATCCCCCCGAAGTTACGCAAGTCACGATGCGTGCCGGTCGTATGTCGACGACGGTTATAGCGACGACGGTCGGCGATCAGCGAAAGCGATCTGTTGCTGTGTTGTCCACTTCGTACGGCCGCTGGGATGCCGACCGTTCCGCGCGTTATTCCGACGGAAATCGATTTTTCCTCCTCACGTTCCTTTAGGCACGACGATTTTTCATTCCGATTCTCGTACGTCTCGCGCGCGATTACGAGATTCGATCCGCGGCCAGTTTCCGTAAATGTATTTCTTGCACGTTAACACATCTCTTATTCTTGCTTTATTTTTTGCAATGCTCTCTCATATCACGAACGATTCGACATCTCGATATTTCTAACGTGTACAGGTGCAAGTGTCTCTTTCCGATTTTGACAAGCTCTTGGATGTATAACGCAGTTAGGTATATAATACGGTATTGTAAAAACAAGGGCACTTTTATAAGTCCTTTCCCGCATGTTAAAATGAAGGCTCATTGAGAGAGATCGATTTTTTATATTTCTCTCATACCCGTCTGTACCAATAATGTAGATTAACTTTGATCTTGGCTTAACTTACTTCTTTTATCTTTTTCTAGTTCTAAGAATTAGAAAACGGTAAAGAATAAATTAAATCAAGATTAAAGTTAATCTATGTTTATATAGAAATGACATAAGCGAATCAAAAGAAGGATGTACTCTTGTGCCTTTTCATACTGACACTCGACGCTCATTTTTAGCGTGAAAAAAATTATGTGATCATAGTTGGCTTGCACGAAAAGCGGCAGCATCCAAATTTAACGTCAATCGTATATATCATTCGTATCTAAAATGTTAAGAATAAAATAATAACAGCATTTGATGCTGAAGCTGAGAAAATCCAGCTTCTTTTTTTGACGCTAGCGTCAAAGTCGAAGTCACGTGACTATACGTGTAATGCTGAAACGAGCATTCTCATGAATTCGCACCTTTATACTTTTTCGTGATGCCTTTCTACGCAGGATACTTTTCCATGTAAAATTTAGTTCACAGTTTAAGAAGCAAACACCAAGAAGTATAAATATGTATTTCAAATTAAGTTGTATGTACGAACAAGAACGCGATGGCTGATTGCACGCTCAAATCCCGCCTCAACATTTTCTCGTGCGCTTTCGTTTTGAAATATTTTGGCGCACTTTGCAGATTTAACTCACGTTCTCTTCGTGACCTAGCCTGTCTCGCGCAACAACGTGTTACATACCCGTGGATTTTAACAGTACGAGGTGACG